AACCAATCACAACATCCTATTATTTAGTATTACCTATTTTCTTAATAACCGTGTCCAAGTCTATAACTTATTATATTTTGGGACAGAGGTATTAGCTTATTTCCCTCCCAGACCTGCGGTGTAGATGCTTCCGGGGACTTCTCTCCATTCCCTCCATTGACCAGAGGAGTGTAATTTGTTATATTTTGGGACAGAGGTATTAGCTTTTTTTCCTTTCAGACCTGCGGTGTAGATGCTTCGGGGACTTCTCTCCATTCCCTCCATTGACCGGAGGAGTGTAATTTTTTCACCTTCTTTTAATCTGATGGCTCTTGTTTCTCCACCTAGTTTTGTCTTCTCACTAATTCAACGGTTCATGTTTTCTTGATTACGTGGTTAATCCCTGTTAAGTTTTGAGATTCACATTTCACTAATACAGATATGCATGTCTAAAGGTTCAATCGTGTCATATTTAGTGGACGAATAGTAATATTATGTCTTTGTCATGTGGATTAGTTGATAGAACAAAACCATATGTAAAACTACCTAAGAAGTCAATTTCCATCTATTTTTGAAGATCGGGAGATATGTTATACTTTGCGGTTGAGGGAGGTGATTAGCAATAGCTGAGGAAGGCAAATACCCACTACAAATGACAACTCGGACTGAGCTGCGGCCCATTTAAATTTCAGAGGACCAAGACAAACGGACACAACTACACGAAGAGTGTTAGCTGAATAGTGCTAAAGAGACACACCCTTCTTTTCAAAAAAAAAAGCTACTAGTATACTCAATATCTATGTTTTTTTTGTTAGAGAAGTTTCTCTTAAATTACTTATCCGATTTATAATCTAATTATACCGTTGTGTTCGTTGCAATTAAATCTTTACAATAAGATTACATGATTAATATATATATATATATATTGTAAATTACTTTTATCATATAGAAGTAAATTCGCAAGTAAAGTGTAGAGAAGATTTATAAAGTCCACAAAATATAGAATTAACTAAAAACAATAATAAAAATAATCAATTTAGAGCATTATGAATGCATATAAATAATTTAGTCAAATCTAAAAGTAACTTAACTTATATATATATATATATGATAAAAGTAACATACGTATATAATAAAAGTAATTTATAAATATAAATATTTGTTCATCGTAATATAATCATGTAAGATTTTGTTGCAAAGATTTAATTGCAATGAACGTAATGGTGTAATCAGATTGTAAATTGGATAACTAGTTTAAGAGAAAATTCTATAAGAAGAAAACAAGATATGCACTATTGGATATACTAATAGCAACAAAACTCCTAAAGTACTAGCACATGGGTATCTCTGGTTAAGACTAATTGGAGACGGAACTGCTAATGCGCGGTGATCGCTCCCAGCGGAGCGATCACCCGCACTCCCCTCCCCCTATACTCCTCCCTCTTCTCCCCCTTCCTCCTCCTGTTATTCTCTTTCTACTACAGTACATCACAAATTTTTTTTAAAAAAAAACAAAAGTTAGAAAAATTTATGTATAGAAATACAATATATAAAAAATTTGAATTCAAATTCAAATTTGAATCGGGTATGTAAACTTTTGACTTATAAACTTTGGGTCTATAAAATTTAGGTGTATAAACTTTATATGTGTAGAAATACTATATATAGAAAATATTTGAATTCAAATTTAAATTTGAATTAGATATAATTCATATTCAAATTTGAATCGGGTATATAAACTTTTGACTTATAAACTTTAGGTCTCTAAACTTGGTGTATAAACTTTAGATGTATAGAAATAATATATATAGAAAATATTTGAATTCAAATTCAAATTTGAATCATATATAATTCAAATTCAAATTTGAAACAGGTATATAAACTTTTGACTTATAAACTTTAGGTCTATAAACTTTAGGTGTATAAACTTTAGATGTATAGAAATACTAAATATAAAAAATATTTGAATTCAAATTCAAATTTGAATCGGATATATAAACTTTTGATTTATTAGAAAAAAATGCCCGTGCGTTGCAACTGGGAAAAACGTTTTTGGGATACAACAACTATTAGAAGCTGGTCAATAAATTGAACCATTAAGACCGCTATATAATATAATTAAAAAAGTTAATAAAAATTATTTTTTATTTTTTTAGCCCCGCTCAGTCCACTACCTCTCTCTCCCTCTCTCTCCTCTCGAGCTGCCTCTCTTTAGGCTAGCTCACACATCGAGGGGCGTCTTCAACCTCAGAAGGCAGTCATGTACCTGTATGTCTGAGCCAATCCTCCCCTAAAATCCGGCCAAATCTTTCTTGATCTCCTAAAATTGTCCCATCAAATTCGGCCAAATCTTTCTTGATCTCTCAAAATTGGTTGAGGGCTATGAATCACTCGATCTAATCCTCTTTCCGTTATCCCAAAATCGAGTGGCGGCACTAGTGCTTGTCTCGAATCGAGTGGCGGCGCTAGGGTTTGTCTCGGCGATAGATGTGCCCATATGCCCGAGCCAATCCTCCCCTAAAATCCGGCCAAATCTTTCTTGATCTCTCAAAATTGGCTAAGGGCTATTGATTCACTCGATCTTCTCTTTCCTTTTTCATCGATCTCCTCTTTTCGTTTTTCACAAAATCCAATGGTGACGGGAAGCGCGTGAGATGGATCGGATTGATCTGGCAAAAAAAGCGGAAAAAAACGAAAGAAAGAAAAAAAAGAGAAAGCATGATAGAAAACAGCGAAAAAAGGATAAAAAAAAGGGAATTGCTAAGCACCTGTCGACAGAAAATGCATACCCAAATCTTGCAAATTTTGAATCACCGGATGTGCTTCGCAATTCGTGCTCTAGGTGCTTCTTCTTCTCCGGCACCGGCGAATTAGGGTCCCGGGGTGGGGTGGGGTGGGGTGGGAGGGGGGAAGAAGGGGGAGGTGGCCGGGCTTAGAGGGATGGCCATGGGAGGCGGCGGCCCTGCGGTGGGTAGCGAGGCGCCGGTGGTGGCGCCGAAGCCGCGGGGATGGAGGATGGCGGTGGGCAGCATTGGCGGCGGGGGCATCTCTCCGCCAGTGGCTAGAGGAGGGAGGAGAGGGGAGAGAGAGAGGGGGAGGAGGTCGGCCGGGGGGGGCCTCACCGGCGCAGTTGACGCCTTCCGGCCAGCCGGCGAGGCCGGGCGGCAGCATGCTGGGGCGGCGGCGGCGGCGGAGGCGGAGGCACGGTGCGAAACTGCGGATCGCGCTAGGGAGCGGCGGCACGGTATCGGGAGAAAGGAGGATGAGGAGGTTTTTAGGGTTGGTTTCATTGCACGAATTTTAAATTAATCGAGTGGTCTAGAATTTACAAGATTTTTAGGGAGGTTTTCTGTCAAATGATGTATAGACAATCTAAAAAAACGATTTTGCTATATCTCACTCGAAAGATTTTTTTTCTTATATTTTCTCACTCAAATTTACAGTGCATTTTCTTGTAAGTTACAGTGTAATTTATGAAACTTACACTGTAACTTTTGTAAGTTACACTGTAATTTTTGAATCTTCACATGTAAATTTTAAATTGTATTGGATTTGGTCTTTTTCTTGAGGATATGATAATTTAGTGTCTATTATGGTGTTTCTTAATTGTTTTTTGCCTTTTATTATATCTATCGGATTTTAATTCAAAGATTAAAAATCTGTGTGATACGATCATAAAAATCTTTCGAATATAGGTACTCTCAAAAAAAAAACTAGAAGCTAGATGGGCTCTTTGCTCGCCTCTAATGCGGACTACTCAACGCTGACGTTGAAAAAAAAAATTGATCAATATATAGGAACTCAATCGGACAGAACAACCAGGACGAACGAAAAATAGGTAAATATATAGATAAAACCGATTCAAATATGAATATGAATGATGTAACAAAATTCTAGTAAAAACATCTTTAATTTTTATAATAGTAGATAGATTTTTTTTCTCCGGTAATTTTTACGGGATTTTTTCTTCATCGTTTTCTAGACCGCGGTTTCTTTTTTCGCGTGACTTTTTTTTTACGGTCAGTTTTTTTTCATCTTTTTCTCGCCATTTTTTTTTCCGTTCTAGTCCGGATCGGACTTTTTTTTTCGCTGTTTTTCTTTCCCGTTTTATTACGATGCGTTTTCTTTTTCCCCTGATTTTTTTTCTTCCCTTTTGAAAATTACGGATTTCAAGTAGTAGAGGTTAAAACCGACTCAAATACGGATGACGTATCAAAATACCAGCAAAAACATCTTCAATTTTTATAATAGTAGAGATAGATATTTTCACCGTAAGAATTCGCTTGGATATATATTTTCATAGAAAAGCATGAGCTGTAATTAGGAGTCGATTATCTTAAGTTAGCATGCAAGTATTTTTTTAAGAGATTTCTTATATGACTCATGTATTTCCAAAAGCGAATGAACTTAGAAAACGACTCATACATAGATGACATATCAAAGTACCAATAAAAACATCTTCAATTTTTATAATAGTAGAGATAAACTTTTGGTCTTTAGATGTGTAAACTTGAGATGTATAAAATTTAGGTGCATAAATCTATATCTACATCTATATACCTAACTATACCTAACTAAAAAATAAGTAAAGCTTAACTATACCTAACTAAAAAATAAAGCTTCCGGTAGGGTTTTCTCGTCCGTCAATTTTTTTTCACACGCGGTATTTTTCTCACGCACGGTTTTTTATCCGATTCCGGTTTTTTTACGTGCGTTTTTTGCCCAGTTTTTTTGTCCGATTGTTTTTTAGTGGGCCCGGTTTTTTAATTAAAAAATAAGTAAGGCTTCCAGTAGGGTTTTTTCGTCCGTCAATTTTTTTTCACACGCGCGGTTTTTTTATCCGATTCCGGTTTTTTTACGTGCGGTTTTTGCCCGGTTTTTTGTCCGATTGTTTTTTGGTGGGCCCAGTTTTCCCCCACCGCGTCCGATTTTTTTTGGGCCCGGTTTTTTATATACAAAAGAAAAAAAACCACAGGAATCCATGTTCACCAGGTTCACCCACAAAAACACAGTAGTCCAGGTTCACGCACAAAAAACACAGAAGTCCAGGTCACACACAAAATATAGAAAAACCAGAGTCCAGGTTTACCAGGTTCACGCAAGAAAACAATATCGCATACGAGTCAGGTTGGTTCGCCCACACCGTTTTCTGCTTCTGTTTGCCCAGCCCAAGTCAGGAGTTAGATTCTATCCCGAGTCAGATTCTATCCCGCTTTTCTTTCCGCTATATTTAGCTAGCACTCCCACTAACGTGATTTTATAGATTTTTCTCGCAGGACAAAATACACAAATATGATCACAGGCAATACAAATAATAGAAGCACACAAGAAAATATAGATCACAAGGCTCTTCCTCTAGGATGTCAAGCCACCTCCAATCAATGTCGATTCCAGGTTATCAATGAACTCAACCCTGAATGCAATTTCAATTTCATTAGATTTATAAGATTAATATTGAATAAAACTAGCAAGTTAGCAACAGGCATATTTTTTAGTTGTTCAGCGGCTATTTTCATGACATACCACCACAAAATCTAGGAGTTGCAAACCCAAACATGAAAATCTCTTTTTTAAGTGGCTTTATATATTACTAGAAGAAAGAAAAAGTATTGGTAATTGCAGCAAGAGCAATTTTATGCAGAAAAACATTAACTGTGCAGACAGATGAACCATCGTTTAATTATTGCAATTTTTAATCATGCTCTAAAAACCACACTGCTAGCAAGTAAATACAACACGACTAGATGAATGTCTTTCTGCTTTCTTTTTACCTTATGTCTGCTCTGCTTTTATTCTTATTTATTGGCAGTAATTACCTGAATATTTTTGGCAATCATCTCGATTCTATACCTCCAACCCATCAAAGGGTAATAAGAAGGTTCGCAATGCAGCATGACATTGCCAATTGCCTGAAAACAATGTCATAGCCAACACTTATACCAATCCACATCAGCAGATATCCGTATGGAGCTCTTAAAAATTCCAAAGCATTACAACGGAGCATAGCAAGTACAATAGGTTCCAATTTAGCCATGCAACCGAACTTAATTCTGAAAAAAAAATTGACCTGATCATCATAACTCTTTAGATTAAGAAAGATATATCTTGATGATTTTTCAGAATTTCATGTTCATAAGCTTATATTATTGTTGAGAAAGGATCCAATTCTATACACATGCATAAAGCAAAATATTTTAAATCAAAGATGTGTAGGGAAATTTTATAGACTCCAATGCTACCAGAAGTACCTTAAATCACGGATGCATTAGTGAGTCTTTTTGCAATAATCTCCACATTCTTCAGCAGAGCACTATCACGAACCTCAGCACACTGATAATTTAGATGTATAGTCCTTGGTTCCAATATTGCTATACTGTCCCTGCATCATGGAAACAAATGCAAGTAAGAAAAAATATCCATCACATATCAAAACAAAAGTTTCTTTAAATCAAATAAAAGCATCATGGCATATAGCAAACTAAAATTTGAATTTTTTTTGGTGCTACATTGGTACATGTCAGAATTGAGTGTTCCTAAACAGATGACCAATCAGGCATGCACATTGCAACCAAAACAAAGCAGGAAACCATGTGATCAGATATTACATCGTAAGAGACAAAAAAATTTGGTTGCAGTAGTACGGCTGTAGTTTGCACAAAATTTGAGTCCATCGCCTATCGCTCGCGCCATCACGATCGAACAAAGACAGAGAGGGGAGATACCATGTTCAACACGAAAGAGATTACTACAACCAAAACGATTACTACAGATTCGATAAATACAAGAAGGATTCCACTAGATTACTACAACAACCAATTGAGGAAGACTCAATTGGTCAGATCGAAGCCGCGTGAAGCATAGGGCAACGAGCCAACGTTGGGGACGTGGTGCCCCTACTCCCACGCTCGCCTTCCACTGGATCCAGCAAGAAGGAAGAAGAGGGTTCTGGCGGTTCAGGGGCTGAAGAGAGCATAGAACGGCGGGGGGATTGTGGGCGCCAGTCAGCAAGGAAGAGAAGATTGCAACGATGAACTCACCGTGGCCACTCTAGATCCGCTCCACCGCTGATGTGGGCAGCCGTCGTCGAGGTTGTCGCCCCCTTCTTCCAATCTGCCACCCCACCTCATGGCCGGCCAGGAAAGGAGAGCAGGGGCGCCGGCACCATCTAGCTCGCCATCTGGCGAGAGTGGGGGGCAAAGGCAAGGGGTGTAAGGAACGACTGACCCTGGCTTGCTCTTGCGCCGCCACCATCAAGCTCGTCGTCCGATGAGGAGGGGCAGTGGTGGCGGAGGAAGATGGCGAGGGAGAGGTGAGTGCCAGCGGCACAAGATACGCCGTCGCCGAGGCCACTCCGCCGACCCCCAGGAGGCCAGGACGCCGCCTCCATGGAGCCCTCCGCCGATGGCTCGCGCCTCACGTCTGCTGAGGGGCTGATCTGAACGCTGCCGCCTGGGGAGAGAGGTCACCGGAGAGGGGAGTCCAGCCAGATCCGGTGGAGATGGGCAGCATGCTCCTCCTCTGACCCCTCACTTCCAGATCCAACGTCGCCAACAAGGGGACACACTGTTCACCAAGCACCAGAAATCCTAGAAAAAGAAAAGTAAAAAGAGAAAATAAACATATGCGTTCTCAGCCCATCCACTCCAGATCAAAGGAATGGAAAAGGAAACCATCACCTCGCTGTGGAGCTGTTCGAGAGGGAGGCAAAACCATGGTGGTGCTAGCTGGCTTTGTGGCTTCCTGGGATAGAGCTGTCGATAGAGAAAGTAAAAGGAAAGGTGAGCCGACGCTTGTAAAAAGCGTGGGGAATAGAGAGACTGAGAAGATTGGAATAAACGAGAGACTTCTGCTTTCCTTTTTTCCACTTCCCGTCGGCTCAGCTTTTTTTTTTTATGTATTTTTTTCTTCTGGTCTGTTTGGCTTCCATTTTTTCCCAGTATATTTATTGACATTTCACCTCAAATGAAATTTACAAATAAAACACAATACTACCTAAGAAAAAAAAGAAAAAGTTTGAATTACACCCCTGAACTTTTGGGTGAGTACGACTTACCCCTCTAGACCTAAAAACCAAACATCTTTCACCCTTAACTATCAATACCAGATAAAAAACCACCACGGGTAGCTTTATAAGCGATTTTGATCCTACGTGGCAGTCCAGTCAACAATTCTTCTATTAAAAAGTTGATAGGGCCCACCTTTCAGATCTCTCTCCTCATTATCTATTTCGCTCCTCATTATCTATTTCGCCTCTCAGACCCCTCTCTCTTGTCAGATGCCAAGGAGGAGACGCGTCAGCGACTGCGTGCGTCTCACGGCGGAGGGCCAAGGCAGTGGCCAGCGACAGTGAGGAGGCAGGAGTGGCAGAGCGGGGCAAGTGGCATGGTCTTAGTCGAGCCATGTCTCGAGGTAGGCGTGATGCAATATGTGGCTGCAGGGAGGGCAGTTCACCACCGCATCCGCCTCGAATCGCACTAGGCAGACACGGCAGTTCGTCGTCAGCCCGTCCCCATCGGCCGCCGAGAGAGATGGAGGTGAGGGGAGGAATAAGAAGAGAGGGGATTAGGGAAAGAGAGTGAGAGGGGAGGAGAAAGAGATAGAGAGGGTGAGAGACTAATAGGTGGGGCCCGCTGATTTTTTTTAAAAAGAAATTACTGATTGGACTGACACGTAGGATCAAAACCACTTCGGCTTGAGTGGGGGGGGGGGGTAATTTCCGGTATTAATAGTTGAGGGTAAAAAATATATGGTTTTTGGGTTTAGGGGTACTTCGTACTCACCCAATAGTTTAGAGGTGTAATTCGGACTTTTCGCAAAAAAATAATGACATCAATTTTTATGATTCAGATGTTCCATCAACTCTCACGAGTACAATGCATGGAAAATCGAAGTATAAGAAAATATGATTTCCTTGTGTCATGAACTCGAATGTTCCTTTTAAGTCAATTCCATTGATTTTTCGTTAAAGTACTAAAAAATATTAATTTTTCTATTAATCACATAAATTTACATGTGTCACCTTCTATGCAAAAGGAGACGCATTAATTTGTTCACCACTCGATCCTCGCCATTACCATCAGGCCCACACACATAAGAAGCGTCATCTACATCGTGCAAATATAAAGTAAATTAATTATAAAAACAAACATAATCTTTTTATAATTGTTCATATCGCCGATGCTTATAATCATCTCGTGTGCTTTGGATAAATCGTTAATATCAAACTTTAGCCACCCTTCAATACCTGGTGCAACGCACAGGCATTTTGCTAGTTTACTAAAATAAAAAAGTAATATGGTGTCAAAAAAGAAAACCAGTGAAGAGAGAGGGGGAAGGGAGAGGGGGGGGGGGGGGGGCGAATCTGATCGATCGCCCGTTAGAAATCCCAAATGGAGAGGCCACTCCAGTTAGATTTAGCCGAGACAAAAGCTCGTACCAAGCGGAGTCGGTCCGACCAGTTGTCCGATCCACCGAGTCGGTTCGGGGGTCCGGGTCGACCAGTTGACATACACAGACGAGCCTACCCAAGACTCCAAGAGGCGAGAAAAATATAAAAACGACCTGAATCCGCACCGTCCCCTTTCCTCTCGCCGCCGACCTCGTCGGCCGTCTCCACCGCCGGCCGGACTACGCTTCCCCATCGGTGCGGCCACCCCCTCGAGGCCTTCACATCAGCGCCGCCACCAACCGGTTGCAGTATCGCTGATCTCCTCCTCTTACCAGGAGGCAAGATGGTACGTGGGAGATCTAACCCTAAAGGCCGCTCTCGATTCGATCTCTCCCCATCCCCAAATCGTGCGGGGCTCGCCTCCAGGGCTTTTCTTCTGCTGGCGAGTCCAGTTTGGGGCTCTGGTTGCTGACACGATCCTTTGTTTTCTTTCCCTGCGATTCGATTGATTGACGGATTTATGACGTTTCTCCTTGCAGTCGTCGCTCGCCGCGGCAAGGGCGGATAACTTCTACTACCCGCCGGAATGGAGCCCAAAGAAGGTACGCGTCTCTTCCTCGGTGAATCGTATAGCGTTTTCATTTGGTTTTGATGCGTTGTGGTTGCTGATGCATGTGGGTGTTTTTCTTCTTTCTTGGAACAAATTAGGGTGGGCTCAACAAGTTCCATGGACAACATGCTCTCAGGGAACGGGCGAGGAAGCTGGACCAGGGCATCCTGATTATAAGGTTTGGTTGTCTAAAAATGCTTTTTCTTTGCTCTACACAGTGAAAACCAGTTAGAGAGAACTGCTATCTTAACTCATCGATATGGCTGTGTATTTTGTACGAGTTTAGGGATATGTTAAAATGGACAAAGGATATGGATTAACAATACAGGAACGATTTTGGATGTTGTCTAAATAAACAAGCGGACAATAGGAGGAAAATGTTATTGGTCCTAGTAAATGGGAATTTTGGACATTGGCCATTTAGATTTTTATGGATCATGGTAACGTAGAATGCCTAACAGTTAACCAGAGAATAGATGATTGGATATTTTAGCCTTTGCCATTGTTGTGGTTAGCTATTTTATTTATTTCCTTTTGCTTTAGCGATTCTGAAATATTGGATTTGCAATTGCAAAAATAGTTTAATTGATTTGATGATTGTTTGCAAGTATTTTTGGCATCTGCATGAACAACCGGACAATATTATTGTACTGAATGGATGATTAATTATGATGTTGTGAACGATTAATCATAAACTTGCAGAGAATATTTCATCAACATCTATGCATATATCAAGCACCAACAATCGCTAATAAAATACTTATCCATAAAAACAGTTGTTTGTGAGGTTTGTTTTTCTAAGCATCATTAAAATTGTACCATAGTTGTTACTATTCATGATATATTTGCTAAACTTGATTACTGGCAAATGAAGAAGGTCCATTACTACATTATAATTTGCAAAAGTGTTAATAAAGTATGATAAGTCCCCTCAGACAAATGAGATGATAATTGATTTGAGTTTACAAACTTTAACATAGAAATGATACTATGGTGTCGACATGATTATTCCATGTGTTCATACCTTTATATTTGATGGCTTGATGCTACAACTATCTATTACTGCCTCTGCCACCATTATGTAAGTAACCATGGTGAAGATAGATGCATCTGTAGATACCATTGTTCTGTCTTCCAGTTACCGCTTAGTTTTGTCATAGTCAGCTAATAATGTTTAGATTAGGAAACAACTACTTTCTGAATCTATATTATCTGACAGAATGCATTTTCATTACTAGTCTAACAAATTGATGGCAAGTACTTTTGTGTACATTGGTCACTTGATGCTAGCTAGGTGATGTATGTAGTCGAGAACAATGTTTAGCTCTACAGATCTAGAAGATAAAAGATACATACCAATGTTGATGTCCTCTTAATGTTTATCTACATATAATTTATCTTCTCAAGTGTATGTTCAAGTTTTGACTCTCTTAATTTGTTTATCTGATGTGCAGATTCGAGATGCCATTCAATATTTGGTGTGGTGGGTGCAACTCCATGATAGCAAAGGGAGTGAGGTTTAACGCTGAGAAGAAACAAGTTGGGAATTATTACTCTACCAAGGTATGTCCTGGATTGGACTAAAGTTCGTCTGAAGTCGAATTACTTTGCAGCTTTGTTTTGGGAGTATTGTGCTGTAGCTATCCTTGTTAGTTTCAGTGGCGGACCTTCTCTTGTGGCAAGGGATGGCGCCGGCCATACCTATGTCATGCCCAAAGTAGGTAGGGTATTCAAGCATATGACCATCTCAGCCTTGATTTCAGATGCTAATTATATGATTAGTTGGCTGTATTTCATTTGGTACAAGCTTATTCGTTTAGTTAACTGGAGGTAAAGACCTATAGTGGGACTGCCTTGTGTCTGCACAAATGAATGAATAGTCTAGCTAACCACAAAATGTTAATCGGTAAAAATCGAATGCTAAAAAATAGATATGTAACTTAAGTGAATGTCTACTTATAAATAAACACACCTAAAAAACAGGGAAACACTCGTAGAAATGTAGTTTAGTCATAAAAGTTACACAACAAATTTAAGGCTTCAGTTGTAAAAACTGCATGACAAATTTAGGATTATAATCATCGTTAATGGCATATATTCTAATAAGTGCGAACATATTATAGTTTGTGTATAATAAAATGTTACATCATTTTTAAAATACCATGCACTTCGTTCTTGTGTGATGATCCGCCATAGCTAAATTTTAGTGCTGGGTCCGCCACTGGTTAGTTTCAGCTTTAGTTTTGGTCCCATGGATAGATGAGAAAACTGTAGGTGCATAAACTGGTGTGCTTTATCCATTCAACTCTATTTTTCATCAACTCATCTCCTGCATGGCATAGCAAGACATAAGCTACCATAGTATCCATTGATAAGGCACTACTGTATTTTATTTATCCATTTTATTGTGAGTTTTTTTGTTTCTTTTTAAAAAAATGATGGGTCCACATCTGCCTTTTGAATGGCCTATCCTCTCCTATGACTACAGTAGAAAACACAAGATTTGCTGTGACTTAGGACCAGGGTTCACCAAACCGCTTTGGGTGGGGTTACCGTCACCCCATGGTAAGGCGGTTATCATGGTAACCATGCGGTTATCATGAAAACCATGTGGTTACCGCGAGGTTTACCGTGGTTTCAAAAATTGAGAAGGTTACTGCACATGATAACCGCACGGTTTTGTAAACCCTACTTAGGACTCCATTGGTTCATCATCTGAAACAGAATAGGTGATCAGTCAGCACCCACTCTATCACCAATAGAAGTATATTGCCATGTTGTGTATTGACTAATGGATTGTAGTCAGCAACTCAGCATACTGGGTAGTGGTCTTACTGCTGGCCTAGCCTTATAAGCAGAGTCATGTTCTTTTCTTGGATATACTAGCATAGAGTGTATCATATTTATTCGTGTTACTTCAAGTAAATCCTTGAACTTTGGAGCTATTTAAATATATGATGTTTTTTCTTATGCCTTGAAATTTGGACTCGACTCCTGAGTATCACTTGTTTGGTGGTTTTGTATCAAAATTGAATTAATTGTTTTTCACCTTTAATTAAAATGCTACTCAATCCAGCATAAATTTCATGAGTTATAGAGGTCAGCTTTCCATCATATTCCCTCCGGTTCCATAATTCTTGATGTTTCGGACAAGGTTGAGGACAAAGAATTAGAACTTTGACAATCAATAACTTTTAAAATATTCAGTTTGAAGACGCTAGAACACAATGTATAGATTAGTCTTAAAAATACTTTAATAAAATTAAATATTTACTTGTCTTGTGTATAATATTATAATAGAAAATCATAGTCAAAGACATGTTTTGGAGACTGCGGCGTTGTCCAAAACGTCAAAAAATATTGAACCGGAGGGAGTAAGAAACTAAACAGAGTTCTTACCAGAAGTTGGTGTACACAACTGGGTAAACATTTTTCTCGAAGAGATCAAATGGTGGTGATTTGAAATGGAGTCGTTCTAGGTAAATGAGAGCACCATGTGGGGGAGGAATGGATCTGTAATAGCTAACAAAAGAAAGATCATGGCAGGAGTATGTCGTCTAGGAAGTTTGCTTATTCATTACATGCCTTCATTATGAGATCAAATGCCTTCCAATAGAAGGAGAAATTTAGCAAACATTAGCTAGGGTACTATATCGAACTAACTTATTCTAACTCCCACAAAACTCCTACCTAATAGATGCATAACTTACATCCTTTACATGGCCCAACGCCCCAACCAAAATCCTGCAATGCCTTTTATGCTATTAGCTTGCTGCTGGCAAGCTGCTGCCTGCCTATGGCTACCTACCAGTGTTAAACTTGCTGTCCGGGACCACATCCAAAATGTCTGGGATATGATAATGTTGGGAACAGGATAGCGCTTGTCCATTGTTGCATGTGAAAACTGTGTACGGTATTGTACAGCAACTATTCAGCCTCATGCTTTCAACTGTCCAGACTGAATATATTTTTTATCCTTGGAGATTGTTATTTTAGCCCAGGACTTTTCGCTCCTTCACGAAATATTAGTATAATAAAGTTAATCTGACAATAATACTAGCCATGCTTTTTGGCAACCTGAAAGACCTTAAGAACGTAAAATTTTATTTTAGTTTTCTTGCCTTTTTTGGTTACATGTATGGAACCTACGTAATGATATACTTTTGGTTTATCATATTCATGAGCCTTGGTATTCTTTTTAAAGTTTATTTTATCAACTTAGTTGATCATAACAAGTATATTTTGTGTTATTGACAGTACAAGTTGAATATATCCCATAACTTCTGCTTTTTAAATCGCCCTTGCATTGAATGTGTTCATTGTTGTTGTCTCACCCTAATTACTAGAAAAAAGAACTGCGTGCAGCTTGTGCACTTTAACCATACTATGTCAGTCGTGCTTTTCAACTCCAAAATACTTGATGACATTATTTTTATTGAGGTACTTCCATTCAGGGAACGAGCTTCTATTGCATAATTGTGTGAGCTGACATTATATGGTGCTAACTTTGTTTTGCCAATGATTCTTGTGTCAGATATGGAGCTTCACCATGAAATCACCATGCTGCAAACAAGAAATAGTTATACAAACAGACCCAAAGAATACTGAGTACGTCATAATTAGTGGAGCTCAACGAAAGACTGAAGATTATGATGTGGAGGATGCAGAGACACTACTGCTACCTGCAGATGAAGGTTCAAATACTTGCAGAAATTAATCTGGCACTCCTATTTATGAAGCCATTGTTTTAAAATGATTACTTGTCTGTTGTGGATTTTTCTTCAGAAAGAGACAAGCTTGCGGATCCTATGTATAAGCTTGAACACCAGGAAGAGGATCTTAAAAAGAAGAAAGAAGCTGAACCAGTTTTAGTTCGCCTTCAACGACTCTCCGATAGCCGGCATTCTGATGACTACGCTCTTAACAGAGCCCTTCGTGATCGTCTTAGGGTCATCCAATGAAATCCTTTATCATATTTTTTTTCCAAAATAGTTATTTAAAAGTGTCATGATTCTTATCCACTTGTCCTATTTGTGTAGAGCCAAAAGAAGAGAGTTGCTGAAGAGAAAAGATCAGCTAGAAAGATGGGACTTGGAGTACGGCTTTTACCACCCTCTGCAGAAGATGCCACTGCAGCGGCTTCTGTGAAGTTTGCATCAAAATTTGAGAAGAGCAGAAGGGACAAAAGAGCAGCAATTAAGGCTGCTTCCATCTTCCCGGAGTCATCAAGCTCAACTTCAAAGAACAAGCTGGATCTTGCACTGAAGAGGCGAAATATAAAAGCTGGTGCTGCCTCAGCGCTGATGGCGAGCAGGGTGAAGCCGTCGTCATGGCAGAGCGCCGGTTCTGGAAGTTCAAGGACTCAGATGCCGATCATGGCAACACGTAAGTAGCCACCCCAAGAAGAAAGGCATTTTTCTTCTTCTGGAAGAAGAAATACCATCTGCTTAGCTGCGCCATCAGAAGTTAAAACCAGCTTGTTTCGGTTGTTTCTTTGCTCCAGTTTCTGTACGAGTATGTGTAATGTGTAGTGTATAACTTGAAATCTTTTTGGCTGTATGCATTCCGGTGTCCAGCTCATGCTAGTCGGTTTGTTACATTATCTTGTACACTAAGAATTTAGTAATCTTTGTATATATGTCATGACGTGTCACACTGTATGCTCGCACACAGCGACGAATGGCTTGCGATATACTATCTGAAGGTTGAAGAATAAAAACTGCTTGATGGCCACCGACGCATGGCGGATTCTTGTGTGCCTGAAATTTGTAGTACCTGTACTGGCACTCGCTTTACGAGCAGCCAATTCCAAGACGTGACATGCCTCCTGCAGCTGCTTGTCCTGCTGCTGATGGAGACGAATTTGCCGCTGGCTTTTTATATTTTGCTTAAATTTTACGAGAATACTATTTTAATAATAGTTTTATAGTATTCTAGTAGTAGTTTTATAGTAGTTTTGTAATAGCAATTTCTCCAATCTAGTTTAGCAAAGCCAATATTCTGGATGTGTGCACCGGTGAGCTGTGCATCCGCTGTCCATCTATTCTCCCTTTTGTATCACTCGAAGACCGCCGTTGCTGCAACGCATATACTACTACGAAGCAAGTACAGATTGCCAAACCTAACACTTTGACTTGCATTTATCAAGTCACAACCGCACCCATCGCCATGCTTATCAACCCTGACACTCAAACACGGCGATGAAAAGAAAAAGAGATTAATTTTAAACAGTCCTGGCCGACTCTGATGAGAGTCTGACCTCTTCGATGGCTCAACAGCAACGGAGGACAAGTGAGATACAGAGAAGTTGATTGAATCGTATGTGAATGCCTTGACACCTGTGATGACGACTCTGACCTTAACATGGTACCTCACTCTGTGGTTTGTGCATCTCTCCTCCTCCCTTTGTGTAGTGCAGCTTCCTATCTAGTAATAGCTGTTTGCCACTTTTGCCTACACACACGCCCAAAGTCAAAACCGGACGTTGGGTGAAAGCCAGCAGTTCCTTCGAGACTGATCATGGAAACTATTAAAATGGCAAAATTAAGAAGAAAATGTCGACATATATATAGTAGTACTTAAACCAAATCAACCTCATGACCTTAATTTGTACCTCCAATATTTTAAGCAGAATTGCTCGTACCTCCAACCCCCAAAAGGTACCCTCCAGCAACCCTGTGCCCGTTCCTTTCGCCCAGAAATATACACCGAAACCGATCCGTCCCAAGTTTCCTAAGAAGAAAATTTTAAAACGACATGCACATCCAAAATCCAAAATATAATAAATAATGCAAGCGCACGTACATCACACGCCGTTGTTAATGCGATGTGCCATGTAAAGACTAGCCTGATTGCCCGGCCTCTAAGCGAGCCTTATCTAGCGACAGATCGATCGATCGATCGACCGACCGAGCCAATCCATCCACCCGTGAGAAAACGAAAAATCTTCCGTCGCCGCGAAGCCACCGCCGGCCCATGCGATGCGAGCGCGCGTTGACGACGTAGTACTAGCATATACGTAGTATGATATGCGCGCGGCCGGGAAAGGCGGGTGAGTTCCGCGTCGCGTCCTCGGCTCGGCGCGCGCGCGCGCGCGGCGCGGGTGGTTTACGCAAGCTGAGCTGCCGCCGCGCGGCTTGCTAGTTAGCGTCAAATCGATCGGTTCGAGCCCTGCAATAGGAGTCCCACGCAAGCAACTCCTTCCTCCTCTTAACCACGCCCTCTCTCACCGTCGTCTTCCTCAATTCCCTCTACCCCTCACCGCCCGCACGCGCGCGCTGCCTAGCTAACACAAACCGCCATTGCTTCCCCTCCTCCTCCTTGCCGCCGTGCTTAGCTTGCTGTTTGTAGCTTGTTGGCTAGAGAGGTCGTCGTACGCCGGTGGCTGGCGATCGCCGGCCGGCCGGTGGTCCATGACTAACGGTGCCGCGAGCTGCCAGCCTGCAGCGCGGTGGACATGAGCCGGCGACTCGGCGCCGCGGCCGCCGTCCTCCTCCTGTGGCTCGCCGTGCTCACCTTCGCCTTGCACGGCTACTACGGCGGCCGCCTCGGCTCCGCGAGGCGGCGGAATATCCTCCTCCAACACCCGGCGCTAGCGCTCCATCTCCCCACCAGGAAGATGCTCCTCGCCGTGGCGAGCTTCGACGACGCCTCCTCGCCGTCGTCGTTGACGACCACCGATCGTCATCATCACCATCACAGGCATCATGGCCACCACCATCATCGCGGCCATGATCGGTGGAACAGGAAGGGTGTCCCGCCGACGGCAGCTGGGCCGGGCGAGGAGGTCGACCCGCGGTTCGGCGTGCAGAAGAGGCTGGTCCCGACGGGCCCCAACCCCCTGCACCATTGATGCCGGCGGCTCGCCATTGATGGGTGCTCGAGTTTTTCTGCGGTGAGTCACGCGCACATATACACTACTACACCGTTCTTGTTGTGTTCATCGATCGACCAAAGGCTAGCTAGCTAGCTAGCACAGTAATATTGATTCCAATTCCAACCTGTGGATGAATTCAAGAAAGCATTGCCGATGTGTGTGTGCTCTTGCATGTATGTACCACGATCATATCAGAAAGCTTCAAAACAAGAGGAGAAAAAGAAATGTTACTAGCTATAGTACATATAGTAGTTGTGTTGAGGAGAGAACTAATTAATGGATATGCCTGTTCCTTTCAAAAAAAAAATCACATCATTCTTTGCTATTTGTTGTCTAGTTTAATTATCTCCATTATTACAGCCAAGGCATCCTTTGGAATTAATGTGGGATTTTATCCTATTCCTACATAAGCCGAACTGATCACTATTGTTCATTTCTTGTGTTTCAAAGAAGGCGGAAATATGTATGGAATAAGAAAAAAATAATGATATGCGCATGCAGTGCACAGTCGCTGTAACTTGCAGTAAACTGTAACTATCTCAGCTGTACATGTTGCTAGCTCAAGTGGCGTTTTTGCTTCGCTTCTTGGGAAACGGTTTCATGGTCGTTAAGTGAGTTGTACGTCGCAGGGATGGTAGGGGATAGATCGATCGATCAGATTGGCTGTAAAAATCCGTGCAAAAAAGGATGGATATCGATCGATCGAGTAGCAGTGACGGCACGGCATCGCATGGACGATGCACACACACATATTAGTAGTAGTATATGGGGTACATGGCACAGATCACCACATGTATAACCCTTTTCCCCAGGTCTTGATACCCATGATAGTTTTGGCACTAAGCGCATATACATGGAGCCAATAGAATAAGCCGGTTTGACTTGGAGCCATCGATCGATCTCACTTTAATTTTAGGGCACATGCATTACACATATGCAGCAAGCACACGCGCCTGGCACATGCAAACAGCTAAGCTAGCAAATTACTCCTAGCTACTCCCTCCGTTTTTTAATAGATGACGCCGTTGACTTTTTCTCATATGTTTGACTATTCGTTTTATTCAAAAATTTTATGCAAATGCATAAGATATAAATCACACTTAAAGCACTATAAGTGATAAAACAACTCATAACAAAATAAATTATAATTACATAAAATTTTTAAATAAAACGAATGGTCAAACACATGAGAAAAAATCAACGGCGTCATCTATTAAAAAATGGAGGTAGTACTACTCCTAGCTAGTTGCATTGTGTGCAAATTAAGGAGGTTAGCAAAAAGGGAGCAGTGGCATAATTAAAAGGGGTTTTTTGTCATTCATGAATGTTTGTGTGAGATCATCGAGTTGGTGTTTAATAATGTGGAATCATGTCAAATAAGGTGGCACGGAGTAATTAAGTAGAGGGGGTCAATTGGGGATGATGTGACACTGGACCAAACTGGGTGAAAGCTAGCTAGAGCCACGGGGTAAAAATGTCGTTGTTGCAACGACCTTCGGTACAATTGCTCATCTACATGTGTTAATTTATAGCTCACGAAAAGGCATATACGGAGTAGCATATAGCTTTGATGTCGTTAAATGATGTAAAAAGGTGTTTTGTTTGTTTGTTAATTTGTTTATTCGCGAGAATAAGCATGTAAACTGTTTGAGTGTTAAAGAATTCAACGCTACCATCAAATTAATTAATGACGCGCGCGTGCGGAGAGAGATGAAGCAGAGAGTGCAGCATGTGCACAACTACTCACAATCTTGATTTTGATGTAAATCGACGGGAACCCTATTTGTAAAGTTTTATTCCTAAAATATATATACCCTATTTGTAGTTTTATTCCTAAACTATATAGGAACCTAGTTCGAAGCTAGTACGAACTAACTCGATTAAGATCAGGTTTTAGTTTCGTGCAAATATAATCTTTTAGGGCTATTAATTGTTTTCTGTTGACTTACAATATAGGTCATTTAGATTTGTGCACAGGGGATAATTAAGGCAGTGATATACAGATTTTGTTGCATATATAGTCACTATCAAAGAATAGATACTAGGTGGTGTTTGAATATAATGAAGATGAAGATAAAAGATTAAGTCTTTCACGTAAAACGAGGTGGTAATTATGTGTGATTAATTGAGTTTTAATAATTACAAACTTGAAAAATGAATTAATCTTATATTTTAGAACAACTTTCATATAGAAAGTTTTCGCATAAAACGCACTGTTTAGCAGTTTGAAAAGCGTATGTGCTACGAGTATCCAAAAGTTTATCCAACATTTTGTTGGAGAAAAGAACAGGCATATAGTACTTTTCCCACTATATATGCCAACATCTCACTTGTGTCTAAAATTAAAAACCGGTAACCAAATAATATAAATACTAGTTTTTCTAATAAACCATCACCTATATATAGGATAAAAGTGTTGGTTTTTAAAATACCAGCACTTAGATGGAGCCAAGCCGAACCAGTCGGCTGCCTCTCGCTCTATTCTTGTCGTCATCCTTATCCTCTCTCTCACTCCATCCCTCTCTCGCTCACCCTTCGTTCTCCGCCACCTGCACAGCACGCCTCCTCGCTCACAACGTCTACGCCGCCTACCTTGGTTCCCCGCGTCTTCCTCCTCACTCGAAACATCATATCCTCTGAGGCACAGCTGCCGGTCCACCTACTCGCCCATATCGTCTCCTCTTCTCTTGGTAGGGCTTTCTATCCTCTTCCTTTACGCGCAAGTGGGAGGTGGCAGATCTGGTTGCCTAGAGCTCAACTACCGCCACGGTCCACCTCCGAGTCCGCAGCATCTCCTCCTCTCTTGGCAAGGTACCCTCTCCACTTCCTCTTTGTGGGAGACCGGTGCACAAGTGAGAGGCCGACAAACTCGTGGGAGGTGGCAGATCTGGCCGCCTATAGCTCAATGGTGCCTTGATGAGCAGGCAGTAGTGGCGAGCATCTGGAGGTCGAGGAGGATCACCAGATCTAGTTGCCTAGAACTCAACAGCCGCTTGATCTGGCCGCAACAAGCTTGGGGTTAGCCAAATCTAGATGATGCAGTCGGCTCAATGATGGACTTCACCCATGGCAAGGAGGACGACTAGAAACCCTAGCCTTCTGTTCTTCGGCATCCTTCTCTCTGTGTATATTCTTCCATTTTGGTGTTGATATATTGATGTTGATTTTGTGATTGTGTTCTTCGCTATTGATTTTGTTGTTGATATAAATATCGGTTGGGAAGTCGATCGATCTCGGGGCGATGGGACTTCCATGATTATGTATTTTTGTTCTTGATTGATCGATCTCAGGGCGATGGGGGGCGCTTGAAACATCAGCTTAATTTGAGCCGATGAATGGAGGAAGCCTTTTCTTTTCATTTCTAGAACATCAAAGGTGTTGGTTTCTAAATTGGTACGTTTGATTATTTCCATTAGTGCCGCTAATGGAATATCGGTTGAGAAAATTACACCTATATAGGGTTACTAATCGGCACTCACGATGTGTTCTATACTAGTGAGAACATCTTATACGTGAGCACTTTCAGGATGGGCGATGGAAGAGGGACATGAAAAATTTTAAATTTCAACCCAAGCTAGTACATTATGTTTCAGAACCTCTTCCATTTCTTCCAGCTGCCCCCTCTTCTTCCTCCACTCATTCTCTAGAATAGTTTTGTTAAATTACTAGGCTCTGACAAAATTCGATGCTAATCATGGTGACCTCATGAACCATGGGTTATCGTGAAAATATGAATACCCGTTGCAGACACTAATTTATTTTTACTTTATAAAGAATATTCCATTTTATAGCAAGACTCAATTATTCTTTTCAGATTTAGGCAGAGAGTGCCACAACCGTTGCTAGTTAATAACCTTCCTCCGTCATATTAATGTGTCCATCTTATGATCCTTTACATAGCTTCAGCCATAATTGGTTGTGCAGTTCATACTTATTCGCGTGGCAGAGCAGCATATAACTACAGAGAAGCACGTGAGTTTTAGGGCAGGCCTAACTGAGATGCGGTTCAAGAAAACTGCAATGTTAAATGAATTGCAAAGTTCCTAGCGTAAAGTGAAAAGGTAGAAGTAGAACTAAGCTTCTAGCATTAGTTTTTTTGACAGTGGAATTCAGCCTGGCATTTACTTTAGAGAAGTTACAAGATAACTACTAAGAAAACCACCTTAAAGACCGATATCTCTATATATGGTTGGACAGAGTATACATAATCGTTGTTTCTAACAACTTGAAGTTGTACGTAGCTCTTGTCTTCCTCAAACCAAAAAAGCATAATCTCCAAAACTAGCGGTCAATCCTTTGTCAATCGAATTTTGCATCCATCACCATTTGCAAACTGACGTCAAACCAAAGCGGAAGAAAACATTAGAGAATATCTAACCTATGAATTAGTCACTAGCCTAAATCTTACCACCACCATTGCCATCGAACCCAATCCAACAGGGACACCACCAACAATGAACCTCCAATGTGACGCCTCCCATAAGATTACGATATCTTGAATATCACCATCACAATGATGGAAGAGAGTCATGACATCACCTCCAAAAATATGTGTGGCGTTTATAGGCGTCACTAATGTTGGTAACGGAAGCTCGCGGCTACCATGGCTGCAACTAACCGGATCAGTAGACCGATTGGCTGGAGTTGTCTGCACCCATCGCTACCACCAGAAGGTGAGTGACGGACTCGATGGCGATTGGGAAAGAGCAAGGCGGCCGTAGCCTGCGACTACATCCGCCCCTGCCACGTGCCATCTCCCATACTCTGTGGGCTTTTGGGACGAGACGCCGCCGCTGCCTCCTCAAGAAACAAAATAAAATATATTGTTTTCACTAGCACAAAGAACAAATTTGCTACAAGTTCATAACCTCTGCACAAATTCTCTACTAATATATAGCATTCAACATTCATCGTTTTGATCTTTTTTTCATTTGAAACGGTTGACGAATTGTTGGGTACCTCATAACGTCAAATAAGTCAATTACAAAGCTGTAGAGTTTTTCAAGATATACAAATTAACTTTTATATATATATCTTGTATCCATTTGAATTGGTTCGTAAAATTAGGAGTTTCTAGACAAGCTGCTTACACTTGCCACAATTGTTGCGAAAAGACAATGATAAAGAGGATCTGGATTTTCTTTTATTTATAGTGGATTATTACACCAATTTTTACTTTCAAACCTTTCAATATAATTTTAAAAATAAATTATCTAGAATTTTATTTAAACCTTTTAATCATGCAATTATTTATAATGATAGGACAACAGTACCATATAGGTGAAAACGGTGGACTAGCTAGCATTTTGTCACGCCACTCACACCATAAACAATAACACTACATTAACAACATTGATTGCCACCCTAGGCAAGAGATTTATTTTTAAGGGTTTGTTGGAACCATGCCACCCTATATTTGTAAAATTTGAGATATGCCACCCGTATCTCAATGACATGTAGGACCCACATGAGTCAATGACATGTGGGTCAGGGTGG